GAAAGAACTTGTGTGTCGATCTATTGTTATAAAGCAAGCATATTTTAATATTGTGTTGCATTTATAGAACTTTTAGATTTTAGATTTTAGATTTTAGATTTTCGGTTATCAAATTTACAAGAATAAAGATTTGATCTGCAGCTTTCTTTCGCACATACCTATTCTATTGAGATAAATTCGATCTATATCAAACGTTACGCTTAAAATTTAACGTAGCTTATATATCTCGATCCGATGCAGGAACGATCCAATATCCGGCATTCACGTTCTTTCTTTCTTTTCTATAGAATAAAAAAGTTTATTCTATAAAAAAGAGAAGTAGGTCATGCGCGGATCAGCGCCTGACGGCAGATTGTTTTCTTATACACTGGGAGAGGAGATAGTACGAGTTACGCGGGAGAGGCGGTAAACTCGTAACAGAGAACATATTCGACTTCATATCATTACGCAACCGCCATATGCATACGTCGAGACAAGAGTTTATTTGCTGTCGCGGCCAGTCATCGCCGACGGTGCCGCTGTTATCATCGCTGTCGAGTTTGCTTGCTTTTTATTCGGTACGCCGTCTCGTCGACAATAAGCCCGCGAAGGGGCTCACGCGTCGCGAGAAACGGAAGTACAAATACACACGATGACTCGAAAGGTCGCCGGTAAAACCAGAAAGCACTCTCGCGCCCTAGTTTTCTTCATCGATGACGACGCACCGCACTGTTTAACGGTAAGGAAGAGAAGAGACACGCACGCGTGAGACAATTCTGTCGTGTTTGCGTTCACGCACACACACATACACGCGCGCGCGCGCACGCATATGCACACGCACGCACTCGCACGAAATTCGTACTAAATATCAACTGAACGAAACATTCTCGCGACTGGAATTTATACAACAAACTCGTTGCGTCTTGTCGGTCTTGTGTAATCATTGTAATCATTGTGCGTAAAAAAATGAAGGTCTTACAAAGTCGCATGCAACTGAAATGCTTGTTTCTAAAATAAGATTTCTTTTATTATTTTTTTTAATATTTCGAAAAATTTTATTTTTTATTAAAACATTAAAATCTCTCTCTCTTAAATCTTCTATATTGTAATAAAGTGGTCAAATATTTATTTTTATTTTTATGTAACTATAATACATGGTTGTATTCAGATCTCTCATCTCCATCTGAAATTCCATGATCAGATTTTGGTTAATAAGTTACCTTATTAAATATGTCAAACTAATTCTAAATGAAATTTTCTCAAAAATCTACGTAGCTACACATAACACTTTTGTGACAGTCACGTTCACTTTAACGTTCTTAGACAAATGACATTTTAATTGACAAGGTCTCGCGGAGTTTACGTAAGGCGTAATTCAAAGATTATATTTCTGATGCTTATCTTTGCACCTTCGCATTAAACTAGTCACAGTTGAGACTTTCCGACAATTCCGACACGAACGTGCATTGAGTCGCACGTTTTGTTACGAGATGCAGGAAAGTAAGCGCGGATAATGGTGTTAATTAGCCCATAGCTTATGTAATCTACAGTTATGAATCACAGGACCGGGCCGTCTTTAAAGCGGTAAATCATTAGCCGGGCAGAGTATCGATCGCGAGTTCACGAGAGTTAACGCATCCGACTGACATAATTATCACTGTGAATATACCCGATGCGCAAATGAAGATGTCCAAAGAGAATTATAACCGGGAGCTGTTGACACGCAATTCACATCGTTTCAATTTACATTTTTGCGATATACCGCACGCGTCGATCGCAGAGTCATATATCTTTTCGACTTTTGTATCGGTAGAATTCAAGATCGCGAATGCAACGGCATTCCCACTTGATTATTTTCCAGAAACATCGGGAAAAAAAAAAGAATTTAATCGACATATTAGCGCGATACTCGGAAAATTACCATTGCGAATGTCACGATATTCTCGAGAAACGTTGCGATGGAATGATGCGTGCTATACATGTATAACGAAGGTCGAGCACGTGTATTATATATAAGAAAAGAGAATGCTAATAATTGATTGAACCAGTTAGGTCGTTAGGTAATTCAGCATAGTAGTAGCTATCGGAAAATAAGATGGATTGCAAACTAATGAAATTTATCATCAATGTGATTGATATATGCCATGGTTAATATAATCACTCATCAATTCGTGTATAAATATACACGGTCTGTGTCTCGCTGCGCGTACACTTGGAGCGAGACGCCACCGTGTCTCTTGATAACGCAGTTAAATATATTACATTTTTTCCTCGAATATATTCAATTATCTGTAATGTTTAATATCACTCTAGAACCCACACAGCATGCATATCAAAAAGACGTCCAGAAGATGTCCCGAAGATATATTTAGGCGATAGGGTATGTTTGGGATATCTTCTTTTTGATATGCTTGCTGTGTGGGAATATTTCCACTTTTAATAAAAAAAACCTCTATTTTAATACATAGTTGAACCTGAAATTTAGATACTTCAAAACCGGAATGCTTATTTATAATAATTATTTCGAAAATAATTGTATTTTATATTGCATTATAATAATTCACAAAGAACAACATATATTTTTCTAAAAATTGTAAGAGATATGATATAAAAAACGAATTACATTGAAAGTATATTTATTTCTAAGATTAAAAGAGCTACTTTTGGAAATACGTATCATTTAAAGATATCTGTTGACGTCACAGTAATATATAACTCAATAGCGTCGAAATATCGAAAGAGGAGTTTCCACGCGGAAACCGACTCATATGCTGGTCCATTCGCTACGAGGTAGATTGCGCGAAGCATATTTATATAACGTTTTGTCGACGATGTTGCGAGAAACGTAATTTCAACGTGGAGTTGTGTTCTCGCACGTGGTGTTTTCGTTTTTGCGGCGTCGCATTTACTACATATGCATGGCGGCACGAAAGATGTAATTAGGTCGTGACGTTTATAATTCGATTTAACATGACCCGTGCAATCCGCTTTGGAATTGCTCGTTTGCGTTTTACTTTACGGAGGACTCGTGGCTATTTGTTAAACATGCGCATTCCCACTGATAAACATTTTGACGAACTAACCATTATATGTATATGTGAAAATCTGAATATGACGGTTTTTATTTTAAATTAAGGTTTTTTTCTATTAAAATGTATAAAGATTTAATATATACAATAAGCAAGAATCGTTGCAAATTAATATAGAAATTGTCGCATCGCACAAAGGTCTGAACTGAAGAAAGTTTTTAATTGCGTTAAAAAAAAAATTGAATATGCAATTAGTTTGCGACGAATTCCGGACGACTTTTAATAAAGGTTCGCTTATCGCTAGCATTGCTTCTTCTACCAACCCGTTCACCATTATTTCGAGGCTGTAAACCGAGTTTATTCGGACTTTCGGATATATCTGAATATTTGTTAGGTACTATCAATCGTAAGAATCGAATATTTAAATTGTTTGTACACCGAAAATATATGATGGGACTAAAAGGAAATGTACAAATATACAAAGGAAGTTTGTTATTGGACTTTTCCAATTAATGTGAGTAACAATACAAAACGCGCGCGATATCTGATATCTGAATCAATAATTTCATATTTTAATTTATCCGAAATATCTGGCTATAACGCAATTATTCAACATTTATCTCTGTATTTGTGAATTTAGCTCCCATTTTGACGCTTGTCAGATTATATATCAAATAATCGATAATTCACTCGCTTATTGGTAAATTTGCATTGTTCTCACTCGTTTTTCGAGCTTTTAAAAGCAAAATTGCATACATATTTTTATTACGAGGTATGCGCAAACCGGATCCGAAAGGCCAGGTAAAACTATAGTACGGCGATTAGATTAGCGCTATATAAAATTGAATAGGATAGACGGAAAAGACAGATCTACGATTGTTCGTTTACGGGCTGATTGAAAATACATCGCGCAGCTGAGGGTAGAACGTATACGCGCGTATCACACGACGACTTTATGATCATAGAAATAAATGATCGGGTCGCGGTCCGCCGCGCTCAAGCGTACTGGAACGGATTACGCCTCTCCGTGTCCGCGCGAAAACGTATCGCACGCAATCCGTCACAAGCGACGATGATATCCGCTTATCGTTTCCGATCGCTATACGTTTACACGTTACTCCCGGTAGATTAGTTTATATGCGTACGTCATACCGGCCATACCGCGTCACTGGTTGCCACTTTTTGTCTTCGATCCATTTTCATGTCGGTTTTTTTTTTCCATGTTGGATAGCGCGGAGTGCCCGATATGATATCACTTCCGATCTCTTCTCTATTGAAGTTAAATTATATTTATTGCTTACTAATGCTCACTCATGAGTTGGAAGATATATTTTTTGTACGTTGGGCATTATTGTCTCTCTAAGTTGTAAAAGAAGACCGATATTTTCAGTAAATTACCGCAACTTTGATCGTTAGATACTCGAAGCTGAGAGAACACGAGCGACGAAGAAACGTGAGGCGCCGCCCGTGCCGTGCCGATAAATAACGCGCGATAAATAAGCCGGAGCCGGTTGTACGGCGTGCAATGTGCGAGCATAAACTATCAACGTGCGAAGGGTGTTTACCGTTAAAAGGGGGCGTTTGCAACATGGGGGTGCCTTATCGCGACTATATGGGCGGATTGTGCAGCTCGGTATATTATCACTTAAGCTCTGTATCATTCGACAACATTATGCAGATATTACATATATGTGGTACTGCCTTCCGTTGCTATTTTTTTCCTCTTCTTTCGCCTCTCGCGTTATTTGCAAATATCGAAATAACGACCATTTTACTAAAAGCGTATGGCATACTGAACCTTGCTCGATAATTATCGAGCTGATTGTGCGGGCATAATGCGCGCGATAAAGAATGCGGCGGCTGATTAATGATGCCTGTAATATGGACGCCTTTATAAAAGGCGGACGATTAATTATCGGAGATATTACGATTAACAAAATATAAGGCGATTCAAAATATCTATCCTTGATTTTGATAGATTCTTTCGGCAATTCGGAATCAGTCTTTTTTTTGAAACTTCGAGATATAATCAGTCATAAAAATAAATAAAGTTAAATAGAACACATATTAATACTTTATAATATTATAAATTTATCCACTCATACTAAGGGTTTAATATTGTAATGTAATAGTAACAGTATAATATTAAAGTTAAATGGTATACGCACGTATAGCACGCGTCTGTGATGTCTAGTTATTATAAAAAAGCCGTGTTGAAAGTGTAAGAGCGCACTGAGAATATATTCCTTCTGTTTTTGTTAATACATTTTTTATAATTCTTTAAACAACTGATAAGTTTCCTAATCAATAACTCTCATTTAAAGAAATAAATCTTTTTTATAAAATTTTGTTCTATTTTTTTTATTGGTGAAAAACAAAAAATAAAATTTCCAGTATTTAATTTTACTTTCTCATTCGAGCAAGCAAAAAAAAATAGCTTATCACATCAGAACACTCTTTATGTATAAAAATCGAGATAAAAATTTTTTTTAATTTCTTGGTTTGGAGAATCTTTTCTTGTAAGAAAGAAATTGAGACAAGTACATTTATAATATATTAAAATTGAAGCTAATTGATTAGCTCTTTCCAAAGTATATTAAGAAATTAAAACTACTAGATATATCCCAGAATTAACTAAGGATATTCTAAAAGAGTGCAAGTTTATCTTCTTACAATATTCTATATAAGAAAAAGCATATTTTAATGGACT